GGGGGACATGGAGAGGAGGAGGAGGATGTGGCGACGAGAATAGCGAGGATGACAACGAGGAGGAGCAGCAGATATGGGGGAGGAGAAGAGATGGATGGAGGGAAAGAGGAAGGGCGGGAGGAGGACGAGTGGGAGGAGGAGGAGACATGGACGGAGAGGACGGGAGGACATGAGGAAGGTAAGGAGACGAGGAGGCATGGAAGATGGCAAAGTACGAGGAGGAGGAGGAGACAAGGAGGATGAGGAAGGGCAGGAGGAGGACGAACAGGAGGAGGAGACATGGAGGGCAGGAGGAGGACGAAAAGGAGGAAACGAAAAGGAGAAGGGAGGAGGAGACATGGAGAAGGAGGAGGGAAGGAGGAGCAAGGTGAGGCAGCACTCCTGCAAAAAAAAAATTCCATCCCGCTTATAATTTTGGTGGGGGGTCTTGAACGCACCGTTTCGACCCCCGGCCTTCTTCTTTTTCTTCAGAGGGGGGTGACGGGTCGTTCCCCGCACATGTCGTGCGCCGCACGGGATCGGTTGGGCGTGTGCGCCGCACGTCGGGAACTGCCCGCACAAGTTGCGCTTGCATGTATGATCCAAACGCTTGCCCTTTTCTACAAGCAATCAGTTCCCTTCACGGCATTCTATGCTGCCTCCAATGATGGACGGTTAATTTGATATTGACCGTACTGTGGAGCACAAGGTACTTTCCGTGCTGGAGCCACAAGGCAGGGGAAGACCACCTGACCTCCAATGCAATACTGTGTGTGGCATTCAGGGGTCATCTAGATTCAAGCGAGGATCGGCGGTTTACCACCAAAGGAGTGTTGAAGTCCGCGCCCCAAGAGGTTCTTCAGTAGGGGAAGGTAAGAGAAGCAACGACATGTATGAAGGTTCTAAAAGGATTTCCGAGCCGGAGGGGGTAGAAATGTGAGGCCCTCGGCCTCTGAAAGTGAAGGCCGCTGGTGCAGAAAAGCAGGCCGGGCCCAAGTGAAGGCCGGCAAATCTGGGCAGATGCTGTCCACGTAACTAACCGGTAAGCCCTGCCTCTAAGTCAGTACAAGGGTCGGGACCGAGACTCAGGTTGGTCGGCAGTAGGGGCTGCCTTCTGGGACCCACACCCCAGCCTCCAGACAAGACAAAACTGGAGGAGGCCGAGGGGAGAGGAGATTCGGGGCACTGGCTCATTGCAGCAGCGCTGACGGAACATGCTGCACCAGATAGCATCCGGGAGGAGGCAGCAGCTGCGGACAACCACTCAGCCAGTGGCTGCCTTAGCTGCCAGCACACTGTTAGGAAGAAGGGTGGCCCTCTGTGTAAGGTGATCGGGGACAAAGGAGAAAGCAGTGGGAACTGGCAGTACTTACGTGGTGACGGTCGCGGAGCACTCAAGTGGCCAGACACTTCAGCATCATCTGGCGAGAGGATTGGAGCCAAGAAGTGGGCTTTCTTCGTCAAAGAGATACACACAACAACAACAAAAAACAACAACAACAACAACAACAATGCTCCTACCTGCGCAGGATGCACTCACATCGTTGGGTAAAAAAGCCTAAAAAAAGATACACAAGGATGCACTCACCTTGTACCCATCGTTGCCTCGATTTCTTTTATAAGCTCCATTTTGATCACCATCGTCTCTCCGTCGTTGTCGATGCATGGAAGCCGACGATGATGATGCGCACACGCGCAGACAAGTGCGCGAGGATGAAAACCAGTTTCTTTTCTTTCTTTTTCAAAGCCTGGAAATTAATACAGTGCTATTGAATATTGATAGTTCACCCGCACTTCTACAAATTCACCGTCCCAACGCCGCGCCACGTTGACTGCATCGACCACACAGTTGACATCAACCAAAAACAATTTGACACAGCATATATTCAGCAGGCAATGAGTTCACCACTGAGCCAATTGACTCTTTCCGCCGGCCGAGAATCCACACTCACGTTACTACAACATTAAAAAAAAACAAAAAAAAAAACAAGGGATAATTTGCAAAATAGTAAAATACCCCCGCAAGTTGAGATATATGGCAAAATGGCCCTGACAGATGTGAATAGCAGAGTGCCCCTCCGACTAAAAAAACTTTTGTGGAAATACTCCTGGCGTCGGTTAGATCCCCCCCATCTTTGCAATATCTGTCCAACTTCGCAAAATGCCCCTGTACTTTCCAACTTTTCCAAGGTCCGATTGCAAGTGCCTGAGCCCAAACGTCAAGGTCCAGATTGCAGCACACTACCGTCTTCCCCCAAACACAGCGCACCCTGATGACGAATGTATACAAGCTATATTTCCGGTCAGGTACAGCCAAAATGGCTCTGCGTTGTGTTCGACAAAAACGGTAGAGTCTGACAGGGGCATAACACGAAGAACTCGGCCCAAAAGGGCATTCCGCTCTACCCACATCTTTCACGGGCATTTTGGCAAACAACTCAACTTATGGCCGTGTTTTGCAAATCGTCCCAAAAAACAAAAGAAGAGTTGGAGGGCAAACCCTCCAACTCACTATCTACTGTTCCATATTTACCAATTAAAAGAGTGCACTTTCTTTTTTTTATTTTTTCCCCCAAAACGAGCGAAGAAAATACCAAAATTTGCCAATCCATCACTACTGCTGCAAGCCCGATTGACATCCATCATTCCTGAACTAGGGATTCAATAATTAATTATTGTTAAACGTTTATAAATATTGAAAATAAGCATTGCAATCAATCATCACAGAATACATTCAAGTAAATCTACTGCGTTATAGAGCAGTGCAATTTACCTAAATTAGTAAATTGCCACCCATCATTCTTGCCAGAATAGGAAGGCAAACAGCAGTTGTCGCTGTTTTGCTGGATCGGCCAAAACAGCAGCCTTTCCTGCTTTTTTTTTTTTTTTCGTTTCTTTTCTTTTTCTTATTTTTGTTACTTGGACCATTTCTCGATTCATGTGTGCCATCCTTGCGCAGGGGCCGGGCCATGCTAATCTGTGCCATCCTTGTGCAGGGGCCGGGCCATGCTAATCGTCATTCTCTGTATCGTTCCAATTTTAACGGATGTCCCGAAAGACGACTTTCGTTTCTTTTCTTTGTTTCCAGCCATCTGAAATCTAGTGACGGCGTATACAATCATTTTCTCAGTCAATTTCCCCACCCAAGCACCAAAACTAATAATAGCATCCCTCCACCTCTGGGAGTACGAGTAAAAGACCATCCACATACTCACACCATGACAATATAGCCACTCTTGGATTTTGTTCCACTGCCAATTGTTCTTTCTCCTCGTCTTACTCATCCTCAACTCCTCCTCCTCGTAATACTACTACTCTTCCTCCTCCCTCCTATATACTCCTCCTCCTCCTCCTCCTCCTCCTCCTCCTCCTCCTCCTCCTATATAGTGACAACTACCACTCCTACTACTACTACTACTACTACTACTACTACTACTACTACTACTGGGAGTACGAGTAAAAGACCACCCACATACTCACACCATGAAAATATAGCCGCTCTTGGATTTTGTTGCACTGCCAATTGTTCTTTCTCCTCTTCTTACTCATGCTCACCTCCTCCTCCTCGTACTAGTACTACTACTCTTCCTCCTCCCTCCTATATACTCCTCCTCCTACTCTTCCTCCTCCTACTACTACTACTACTACTACTCTTCCTCCTCCTCCTCCTATATACTGACGACTACTACTACTACTACTACTGCTACTACTACTACTACTTCTACAATTTCTACTACGACTCATCCTTTTCACTTCCACTCGCTGCTCTGCCTACGCCCTCACATTACTCCTCGGTGATCCCCAGTTGCACGTCCCTCAACTCCTCTTCTTATTCCTCTGCAGCCTGGCCTACTGGCCTCACCTCGCTCCCTGTAATCCCCCCTCTCCCCCATTCTCTGCCTCCCCCACAACCCCCTCTTCCCTTGCACATAGCATTGGATGAAGTGAGGCCCGTATGGAGGACCAAGTCCAGCGATAGTAACAACGATAAGAAAGAACAGGGTACTGGAACCAGCTTCGACAAAGAGATTAGGGGAGGAGAAACAGGTAGGACAACGGCCACGAATTTTGCTTCAAAGGGGGGGGGAAATGCAAATAAATTTAAATAATAGTTTTACATCGTCATACAGTTCTTATCTCTACATAATTTTATAAAGAAACAACGACATTGTGAAAGGGACGTTGGACCCTGTTTCCAGCAGGTGACGCTCCCCACCAATAGATGGAGTCCCTATCTAGGTGTTAGTGGTGTCTGCTCTTACCAGCAACACTGACATTGGTAGGGTTTGTTTTAAAAAAAAAAAAAAAAAAAAAAAAAAAAAAAAAAAAAAAAAAACATCGTCATACATAGGCAATTGAGGAGGACAAGGTGACACGTCGATGATAACTGAGAAGCAGGATAAGGAAGGCGAGAAAGAAAGAGAATGAAAACGTCGAGTGGATGACGGATGGCAATGAAGATAAGATGAACTGTCGATGATGATGATGATGATGATGATGAGGAGGAGGAGGAGGAGGAGGAGGAGGAGGAAGGAGGGGATGATGATGTTGATCATGATGAGCATGACATCGATCACGACGAAGACAAGCAGCAGGAAGTTTACAAGCAGGAGTAACGGGAAGGTTGGGACGATGAGGAGGAGGAGGAGGAGGAAGGTTTGGATTCTGATGATGAAGAGGAGGAGGAGAACAACAAGCAGGACTACGAGGACGGTTGGGATGATGATGAGGAGGAGGAGGAAGGTTTGAATTCTGATGATGATGATGATGATGATGATGATGATGATGATGATGATGATGATGATGATGACGACGACGGCAGCTGTTCGGAAAAGAAAGAAAGAGAGGAGGGGAGAACACGGCTGCCGTGAATTCGCTTCTTGGTGTACTTGCTCTAGGTGATTCCTTGCCTTCCTCCTCCCCCTATGTTCCTCCTCCTTTTATGTTCCCCCTCCCTCTATGTTCTTCCTCCACACCTCTCCGATCTCCCCTCACCTCATCCTCCCTACTTGAATATTTTCTCTAGAGTTCGGAACTCTGCTATTTGGAAAATCCTTTTTTTTTTTTTTTTTTAAGAAAATTGTTGACTATATTCTTCTCTCAAATCTTTCAACCAACATGTCAAAAGATCATCTCACCGTCCTGCCAAATACTGCGAAACCCAACTGTTCAGTCCACTCCGATCCGATCCAGTACCACAAACAAAACCGGATCGGGACATCAATCAGTTACCCGAGGTCCAGTTCACACCAAGCTGGACCAATTGTGACCGACCGTACGTCACTGTCTACAGGGACATCCACGAGTACAAGGCAGTCCCCTCTACCCCACCTCCATCTGCCCTCCTCTTCTTCTTCTTCTTCTTCTTCTTCTTCTTCTTCTTCTTCTTCTTCTTCTTCTTTTCCTCATCCTCTTCTTCATTTTCTTCTGCTTCCGCTGCTGCTGTTTCTTTCTCTTCTTCTTCGCCTTCTTTTTCCTCCTCCGCCTCCTCATCCTTCTCCTCTTCTTCTTCTTTCTCCTGCTCCTCCTCCTCCTCCTCCTCTTCTTCCTCTT